CTATCAATATATAATATTATCAACAGCATGGAATTTTACATGTAGCTAAAAGCAATATCATTTCTGCCTCATAACATGGCTAACTGTCAAAATAAACGATCATTTAGTAAGACTTAAAACCTTTGTGTGTGAGGCTTTTCTAAGGAAGAGATACTCTTTTCTTTGATTTGGAAAAGACTTTATAGAGCTTTTAATAGATCAAAACAAGACTACAGTTCCATTGTATTGGATCTGCTAGACTTTCATATCTCAAATTGTTAAACACAGTTCATCACCAGGGTCTGAGACTTGCTCTTTGAGCTTTTAAGACCACGCCTACAGCAAGCCTGGATATAGAGGCTAACGAAACATCACTGTCTTGGAAATAAATTGGCTTTATAATACAAAAGTTAAATCCTGCAAATCCTGCCTTAATATTTGATCCAAATTATAACACTTTGTTTCAACACATACCAAAGACCATTCCACTATTCGTTATTCGGATTTCCGCTGTTTAACAAAACACAAACATTGATTTTGAGCAAATTCAGTCATTTTGAACTATAGAAATTCCACCGTGGCTCTTGAATTCACCTGAAGTTGGCTTTTCACTTTATGAAATGTTTAAATAAGATACTGACGGTTGCACCTGTCGTTCGTCCTTCTCGAAATTGCAGTTTAAATATAAAAATTCTACATTTATAACTTGATTATATACTGGTTCAAAAGACAATGATAAGGTTTCCGCGACCAAGGTTACACAAAATGAAGCTTATGGATGTCGGCTACCCAACAAAGCCCGACTATCTTACAAAATCTACAAAATCTTTGCAACAGATATATCGACAATATTTTCATTCGTATTACATTAATGTTATATCAAGAACTTGCCTCAAACTTCCGTATTTGTTTGTTGGGTTCCTGGGTACATGCGAATACCATGCAATGAAGAGCAGAACGTGCCGCAAAGGCAGCATTATCATTACCATCTGTTGTTTTTAAACTTCATTTTAATGATTCTTAACCAATAAATATATAAATAATAATAATAAATAATAAATTGCATTCCGCAAAACCTATCATTAGTGAATGCCTCCATGTTATAGAGACAACAATCGAGACGAAGTTGTCCTTGCTTCGAATGGGTCATACATACCTTACACATTCATATATGTTGAAAGGCGAAGATAATCATCGCTGCATAGGATGTGATGAACAATTAAACCTTTAAACATTTTTATTGGACTGCATTGACCCTCTGTCTACCCGAGATTTTTTTATCGTAACGTTACAATTCTGAAGACCTTTATTGAAACTGTTGAGATTTAATAAATTCTATGTTATCTGAAAGATGTTGGTTGTATATATTGTAGGATATCGATTACTCTTTTGTGATTATATAACCATTTAATATTTTTAGCATGTCTTTTACCTTTTAGTTTGTTTGATGTTATATCCTTTTTTGATCTTTGTGTGTTTCACCGTTTGATGGTCCTAATGACGGGCAATTACATTTCAGTATAATTCAGTATAGACACAACATGTATTGCATGACTAAACTACTTTTCAGGTATAGATAAATGACTATCATATCGGCTGCCGATATAGAAGCTCTCTAGGTCTAGGTTCCATATCTATGATTACTAATCATTCGCGAATTCAAAGTCATTTCTAGATCAGCGTTTGCGACATCATGCATTCGTGAGAATCCCTTCTTCGCGAATTTACCGTAGCCTATATATATATTTGCTTTATTTTGACTGCGGCCAATGTTCGTGGGTAGATAAATAAGTCTGACACAAACTGGTCAAAATGACAAAACAGGTACTTTAAATGCCAGCTTTTTTTCGCTTTACAAATAACAAAGTCCTTTCTTGTCTTAAAACTTCTATTCTTGACATTGTGTATCTGAAAAACATTCTGAAATATTTTAACCTGTCGTAAGTTATGCAGTACCGGGGTACTGGACCACCCAATCTAGATAAACCAAGATAGTGTCATATTCCTTACCGTTTGGTGGCCGAGAGTTTCTCTCACTTTGTTGAATGTCATCATCGTCCATTCGGTTTTGGGCATTATGGCATTAACATTTGACAATCCCAGGTTGTGGAAAGATACTTTTGGACTCCGTTGATGGCTAGAGGTATCCATGCTTTTCAACACAATAATTTAAAAAGTCAGTCATATGTATTCCATCTTGGCGTTAAATCAAACTTTTTAGGCACTGGGGTATTTACAATGTTTATTACACTATTGATGGAAGTTCGCCCAGCACTGTAGTAAACATTCAGATTAATTTTAAGAGGGTATTTCGCGGTGTTATTTTGGGCGATTTGGTCCTAAAAATAATAGTTAATATTTCGCGTTTCAAGATTTGGCATTAAGACACAGGTCTGTGGTTTTAATTTTGCTTTGATATCGATTCATATACATATACGTATTGAATATATTATATGTAAAATAGGTATGTTGTTAGAATTCAAAATATCGAATCAATATTCCAGCATTTCAATATAAAATTAGGACTTACTATACGTCTCTGGGAAAACATAATTTATCAATAATGCCAGAGACTATCTGAGCGGACAGGGTTGAATGGCTGGCATGTGTTGCATAATTGCCAGTTTCTTTGTTTGGTAGAACAGTGTTTGCAGGCTAGCGTGACCGTTAGAGAAGATTGTAATCAACAGTCGAAAACTGTCAAGCCAATAATGACGATAGATAATATATATTTTATTCTAGACGTATTTTATTTGAGGATATAAGTTCTTGTCATAACAGAGTCTCGCAAAAATCGCTGTATTACAGCATTAAATATTATTTTCCAAATCTACGGTCAACATTGGTGTCCGCTATTGATGCTCATCACATATTGGAAGTTTTAACAATATCATGTCTGTGTTCAGCTGACATATGCTATGTTATGAGATATGTCTGCCTAGTGTAAAATTCCTGTTAGATTAACCGATACGTCAAGATCAGACATTCACCTGACAATTTGCGTTATAAGTTCTAAACATGAAAAATTGACCTTCCCCTTCATAATCTAAGAACGTTTGGTATTATAGTTACGTTTTGAATTGATTTTTCTGTAACATGTATATTTATAAAGAGTAATCCGACTTTTTGTATTTTATTATACATTTAATGATATTAATTTCTTCAAGTCGTGGTCACACATCTAATGTTTATTTCTAAGAGACCAAAATCAATACAATATGTTTTGTACTTGTTCAAATTTCTTAAACTCGGCCATCTATAAATAAGTTACAATCATACGTACCTCGGGTCGAACGAATGAACCACACAGCCCCACTGTTCAGAGATATCATCGTCAAAGCTGAAGTCGAAATCGATTCTAAAAAACAATAAAAAAGTAAAAGAATAAAATTAAATAAAAGAAATAGTGGCGAAATTCAAATGAACAACAATATGGCTGTTCATTATGTAATCAATAGCTTCGAGAATGGTAAACGCTCAAAGCGGAGAATATAGGGAAAATAAAACACTTCCTTTATATGACAAAATATAGTGATTGTGCTCATTTATAAATACAACGGTATCTAAAAAAGACAATTAAAAATTATGATTTAAATGTCTTAAAAGGAAATAAAACATTTTTGTGTATTTGATACCAAATGTTTCATATTGGATAGATCCCTTTCTATACGTGAATGAAAGCAACAAATGAAATACCGACAGGATCATAATGCAAAGACATAAGCGACAAACCTGGGGCAGAATATGAACAAAGAAACACAAGAAAGACATACACGTAGATTAATGAGAAACTATTAAGAGAAAAGACAAGATGTTCTATAGTGGCAAGCGTCTTCTGACAATACCTCCATGTAAAGTTTGGTTAATCCAATTACGTAATATGTCACTTTCCCAAAACATGAGGAAGATATGACGAAGGCAAAACAAGGAGAAGAGGAAAGTTATACTAATATACCAACGATAATCGAACACGCCCAACTTCATATCACGCAAACAAATCGAATATAAGATTATTATGACGACCATATGACTTTCCCTATAGTAATGCACAACGTCCGTTTGTTAAAAATGGTTGATTTTCTATTTCGGATTGATAAACAAACTGCAGACTCGTGTAATTATGACTAGATAGCGATCATAGGCATACCAGATATTGTGATTATAAAGGACATTTTTAATTTATCAAAATACAACCGAACCCAGCATAAATTTGTCTATCTATTGTATAGTCTTCAGAGAGTGGCGAGTTGTGTGCCGCGGACAACAAAAGTTACATGTGTACGCCCGTGTGCGTGTTAACTCCGTACAGACTAGATCTCCCATGAAACACCTGAGTATGTATGTTTTAACAAAATGATAAAAAAATGAAAATACAGAAGAAATGTTACCTGAAGGTTTTAGGTGATTCATCGCCAAGACAAAAAGACGTCCATTTCATGTTTACAAGCATACCTATAATGAGTGCATACATCGATCGCACATCGAACATTTTGTTGTCATCATCAAGATGTCACGTCATCCGATGTACCAGTTTTACAGTAGTTCAATGTCATACAAATCATTTTTATAGCAATAGACCATAGATATGTCGGTTTTCTATTATTTTAGAAATGGTGTCATCTTCACATACAAACCAATAAATAAATAACACAACAGTTTTATTAATTGATACCCATCAATATTCAATAAAAATGTACATTGTGCAAACTTTTGACATCACTTATCTTTATTTTTGCGATTGTTTTAGTTCAATTCTTTTTTCATTTTAACGCAAACGGTGACGGTTATTTTAGTTCCTAATGTTAGGGAGTTGTCGGGATATAAGCCTCGGTGCCTACTGCCTAGAGATATGATTCAGCTAAATTGTTCCTCATCATTTTCAGCTTTTTCGCTAATGATATCGGGTTCGTGCTAGCATACAAAGAGAGGCTACATCGCATCGTCAGATAGGTAAACTGATATATGTTCACTTTCACAATGGTAGGTCCGATGGTTTTGTAAGCAGATTCATTCGTCAGGCAGCAGTGAGAACGATAGTATAGTTGAAAACGTCCTACCACACAGACCTCTATATCCAGTCTTAATATAAACTTAGTGCTGATGTTTGGCCGAATCTACTCAACTAAACAATACGGCGATCTCCAGCTTCGTCAAATACATCATTGTTGTTTGTAACTAAGACAGACAATGACGATGGGAACTATCTAATTTTAATAACATATTACTTAAAAATTGATTAAGTATCATCGTGGTATAAAAATGACATGGATGCTTTAACAAAGTTATTGTATTTTGGTAAATTAACGAACTGTGTATTTCAACACTGGTGTATTAAAAATAAAAAATCACCATGCATTTACGGATAAAAGTTTTTGATAAGTATCATAGAGTTTATAGCAAACTGACTCATGCGTGAATGATGACTAAGATCATGACAATAATTATATGGAGATTTGAAACATACGTACCCAAATGAATACACCAAGCAGCTGTCCCTTCTCACCATGCTGTCTTCCACGCACACATCCCATCCACCATCATTGACCTTGCCAAAGCGTTTCATGTGTCCACATATAGTCTGGATATTGTTGAAGTACCTGTAAGCAGGAGTATCAGTATTCCAATAAATTTTCTATTCATTTATAGAAAAATACGATTTTCCTCTACCACCCAAAACTGGCCAGTCCTCAAATGACCACAATAAACATATATGCAAACGCCCTTTACAATCCATCAAGAATTTGGGTCTAAAATTCTAGATAAAAACGATGACGTCATTGGAGATGTCATTAATGTTTCCTGATAGGGACTGATATCAATACAACGACAATTCAGTCTATATTCTTCTACTCTGCTAACTCTGTATTTACTTTCTCATCAAAAATGTGTCCTTAAAATCCAATGAGAGATTGCGTGCCAACAATTCAAAGGAAACATTACAAAAATGACAACATTTGGAATGCTATTAATATTTCTTAAACGTGCATTGATACCAATCATACAATCTTCATGAAACGACGTGTTTAAAAATGTATTATAAAAAACTTACCAGGCGTAAGTACTTTCTATTTGATGCATTGAGAGCGAACACAGATCTTTTTTGCTTGGTAACTGATGCCCATTTATTACATCATCCTTATCGCCAGATTCTCGTAATTCATTTCTGCATTTTTTCTCAATATTGAAATCCCATACCTGTTAAAACACGATAAAATTACTCATAACTCAGACCGAAACCACGAAAAGACATAACATGACACGGACAGTGATGTTGATGTCCTCCATTAAAACATGTACACCACGTATTATAATAATTGGACCAATGACGTCAGGATAGTTGTAGGACACAGACTGTGTTACAAGAGGAAGTTATCAGAATCGGTGAGCCAGCATATTACCCTCACCTCTTTCCTATAATAGATATATCTCCGTGATTCGAAGATTGAAACTCTGAAAACCAACCTCCTAGTCAGCATCATATCAAATGAAATGTGCGTGCACGTGAGAAACCCGTGCTTGTTTTAAAAAACGTCCAATCTAGCTAATTCATTGTATATGGATGGATAGTTCAGCGGGATATTTGCATCCCCTGGGATTTCCATGTGACTTAAATAACAAAATAAAGGCGACCTGCTACACATATCAAGTAATCAAATTTACAATTATGCACAGCAATTGTCCTTATGGACGTCACGAAATTTACATTTTGTTTGTCTTATAACTGATTAGTGTTATGATTGCAGCGTTTCACAAGCAACCAGTGTGTCAACTTAGATATTAACACACTTACTAATGTTACCTGTAATTTCAAGTCTTTATGTTCTCACGGGTTCAATACACTTGAAACATGATAGATCACATCGTCTTTGTTAACCATGTATCTCGATTGAAACACCACTCGCGTGTGTGTACGAAATTATTATTTTGTGCTTGTTTGTCATGCAATCGTGTTCAACTGGATCTCCTATACAGGGAGATTCAAAGGACCTACACATTCACACCATATTCATCGCCTATGGGTAGTTAAATACCATACGGTGCGAGTCCGATCATCGCCTGACTTTAAGTTAATATACAATACAATATAAAAAGAAAATATCAACATGTCAACACAATCATGATCGAATTTCTATTTTCAATAAAATTTGGGCAGAATATGAACGCAAGAAAGATTTACAAGAAGACTCCCGTAAAAGTACAAAGAGAATAAGATCAAGTGTTCCGGAAGAGTAGAGTTTTTCGCTTCATCGATGATACCCACCATGTAAATCTTGGTAAATATAAGTAAGAAATGTCACGTTCTCAAACTGTGACAAGGTATACAACAACGAAACTAACAGGCAAACTAATGAGCATCAAATACCTTCAGCTTCATATCGCATATTTCTTAATGGGATCACAATGTCAACCGTAAACCATCCTCGTGATTTTCATAAACTCTGTATCAATTGTTTCATTTAAAAGATTGGTCTCTCGGGGACAGCGCAGCCTTGGTAGAAGCATAATGGGAGGTTAAGCGATTCTCAATATACCGAGTGTACAGACACATCTTTCTCTGACTAAACACACGTGAAAACACACGTACCGATAAATGCGGATGTATAAGCGTAAAAGTATAGAAGAAAATTGTTATTGCAATGCACCAAAAACGGACAAAACTGGAACCAAAAATCTAAGTCGTATAAACGTATTTCGGGAGTGATCTGTACGTATTCAATCTGTGTTGTAATGTCGATGTGCAGCGCCATTTTGAAGTCACGATTTGTATCCTTAAGCGTATATATGATTAACAATTATTTCGTGTATTTTGTTGTTTTATTGTTGCCTTTAGTAATCAAAAACTTTCAAATTAACTTTCGGGTTATCGGCCACTTGCTTAACTCAACGGACTACTTTGATATTTTGCAAAGAGGCGCCAAAATGTGAACATTCACTAAAATGCGAAAAATTTACACATTTTTTTCTCACTCTTTTTATACATGATCATGAAATGTTTCTTTTTATAATACTTAAGGTCAAGGACGTTTTAGTTTTTTATTTAATACAATATAATATGATATCTTGGAACGACGAAAATCAAGAGGAAAGTGGCTAGACAATCCGGATTTGGCCTAGCATATGACCATCATGTCTTAACGTCAAAACTGATATAGGTTAGTGTGGGGAATGTCAAAGACTGCAGTGGTAATCATGAGGCAATATTCGTTATTCCACACATTTAATATTTCCATAACATGTAAACTTACCGGTCGTGAGAAAATCCTTTGTTTATTTCTTTTGGTAGTAATTATTAGCACCAACAGCACTATAATGACGATTGATACCACTAACACACTAGGTTTATTCCTCTGCATCATGATGTCTGTAATATATAAACATATTTTATCAGTTTACGTGATGTTCATTCAGTGATGCATTTCGACATGACTACCGGATGTAGTCCTCAACATATATAATACATATGCATGCATATATTTACAATGTACACCGAATGTCGAACAGGACAATTGTGAAAAGAAATGTGTCCGACAACTTTATAAACAAATTATGTGTATCTTTTAAAACACGTTTACATATATATAGTATAATTTTGAATGCAATTAGAAAAAGATTCATATTTTACCTTAATGTTATCTATTTTCAGAAGTCAGAAGTATAGTACAGTTTTAATAAAAGTTCTTTTAACACAACCTGCAGAGGATAATGTTCACAAATAGTGTATAGTATAGTATACTGAAGAATCGTATTCACATAATGCTTTGTTCAGTACATTATAATAATGATACAGTGTCTTGAAATACGTAATATAACTGTCATATGTTCGTATTTTGAGAAAGAGGTGGCCAGCCCAGATACCTCTATATGTTAAGTGTGATACTTTTGTTTAGAATCTATCATTGTGTCTTTTGCTTTCTTGAGAAATTCCAAGATTTCTTGAAACGCATTGTTATCAATAATACACTGCCTTAAAGTCCAATAAAAATGAAGAATTTCCATGATTACTTGGCATCCACTTATCTTTCCGAGATTACACGGTCGTTACAGTGATTGCCCAGATACTGTTGTTTCCGATGGGTCACGTGACCTCAAAATGAGTCGCACCGGTAACACTGCTCACTAAAATTTACCACCGCAATCTTTCCTGTATGTCGCACAACGTGAGTCACAGATAAATTTACAGCCATTCACGAGAGCAGTTGTAATTTTCTGCTGTTATCATTTCGATTACTGTAAACTTGGCACCTTTCACAATGGAAAAGTGTGGGTAATAAATCACTAACTACCACAGTCCTTACCTAATTCCCTTTCATAATTACATGAAACGAAAGGGGATGATTGTAGTGGACTGTGGTAACAACCTTAAGGGGAGATTACAAATAAGTTAGTAATGATTGAGTCAATAATACAAGAGAACGGGTCAGTTTTAATCATAATATCATGCACGTGATTCACACAAATGTCATTATAAATAATCGATTTTCTTGTTTCACACAATGAACATTATTTTAGAATTTCTTCGTTATCCTCTTTTTCTGGAAAAGTACAATTGTATGTTATCTCCAGGAGCTACATTGCAAATTTCCTTGATCACGAAATGACACTTTTCGATAAAATATTCCTTGAAAGAAACACACTGGAGAATTACATTGGGGTGAAAATGCCTCTTTTTGGTATCATTTATCTTAAAACCATTTCACTCCTGGTGAATGTTACAACTTAATGGTGTTTTCTCAGCTTTCTGCTGACTCCTTAACATATTTGCCCATTGTACCAGGGATTATGTCCTTCTCTGATACTGGTGTGTCAGCAACCCAATTAACCAGAAATCATATTTTCAAAATTTCCTGATCCCCCCACAACGTTTTGTGCTGTGGAAATATCAGTGATAGTATCATAGTTTACTAAATTTCAGGACCAATATATCAACTAATAATCTTCACAGGAATACAAGCATTGTGTCCATTATAATGGCTATTGGTGATATCACTACCCTGGTTCTGAGTAATACTCACTGAAAAAAGATTAAAGGAATGGGGGTTGACAATGTTAGCTTATTTCTTAATCACATCGTACACTTAAAACTGTATTTATGCGAACCTGCAAATAATATACACGACAACATTGTAATAAAATTCTTACCTGCTAATAAGTTGTCTCGGAACAAATAATGGAAGTCTTAATATGTTCTTAATTGAAGATCTCAACGGTGTATAAATAGTTATCGTCTGCCACAAACAACTTTAAATAAGCTGCTGTTCAGTGTTTCACCAAAACAATGCTATGCTGTATAGCGTTTGACTTCATTCGAACAAACGGTCTTCGTGAACAATAGCTCCGGTGGATACCAGAGTGTTACGGTTTAAAAATTCAATGTTACAATGTTATAAACAGACACGTATGGAGGGACATCAATCAGACAAAGAGGGGCATAAAAGCAGAGGTAGCGTAACGTTAAAACAAAGGTAAGAAGACATGAGACAGATGTAGAGGGACAATTTAAAAAAATATATAAAACACAGGTAGAGTGACATAAAAACACAGGTAGAGTAAACACAGGTAGAGTGACATAAAAACACAGGTAGAGTGACATAAACCACAGGTAGCGTGACATAAAACACAGGTAGAGGGACATAAAACACAGGTAGAGGTACATAAAACAGGTAAATGGACATTAAATCATAGGTAGATGGACATTAAATCATAGGTAGAGTGACATTAAAACACAGGTAGAGTAAAACAGGTAGAGTGACATAACACACAGGTAGAGTGACGTAAAAAGAGGGATGGAGGGACATAAACAAACACAGCTAGAGTGACATAAACCACAGGTAGCGTGACAAAAAACACAGGTAGAGGGACATAAAACACAGGTAGAGGGACATAAAAACACAGGTAAATGGACATTACATCATAGGTAGATGGACATTAAATCATAGGTAGAGTGACATTAAAAGACAGGTAGAGGGACATTAAAACACAGGTAGAGTGACATTTAAACAGAGGTAGAAGGACATTAAAACAGAGGTAGAGGGACATAAAACACAGGTAGAGTGACATAAAACACAGGTAAATGGACATTAAATCATAGGTAGATGGACATCAAATCATAGGTAGAGTGAGATTAAAACACAGGTAGAGTGACATTTAAACACAGGTAGAGTGACATTAAAACACAGGTAAATGGACATTAAATCATAGGTAGATGGACATTAAAACAGAGGTAGAGGGACATTTAACACAGGTAGAGTGACATTAAAACACAGGTAGAGGGACATTAAAACACAGGTAGAGGGACATAAACACATATGTTGAGGGGCATAAAGACAGAGGTAGAGGGACATTACATCACATGTAGAGTGACATAAAACACAGGTAGAGGTACATTAAAACAGAGGTAGATGGACATTAAATCATAGGTAGAGTAACATTAAAACACAGGTGGAGTGACATAAAACACAGGTAGAGGGACATAAACACATATGTTGAGGGGCATAAAGACAGAGGTAGAGGGACATTACATCACAGGTAGAGTGACATAAAACACAGGTAGAAAGACATAAAACACAGGTAGAGGGACATTAAAACACAGGTAGAGTGACACAAAACACAGGTAGAGGGACATTAAAACACAGATAGAGTGACATAAAACACAGGTAGAGGGACATTAAAACACAGGTAGAGTGACATAAAGACAGACTAAGGGTGACATAAACACAGATGTAGAGGGATAAGGAGAGGTAGAGGGGCATTAAACACATGTAGAGTGTTAATAAAACAGGTTAAAAGACATAAAAGCATAGATAGCGTGACATTTAACAGAGGTAGAGGAACAAAAGGACAAAAAATAATTTTATCATAATAGATATTCAAGCATTTTGTTCATTTAAGGTGTATATGCCAAAACGATGACAAGAAGATCTGGGACAAGTTCGAATGAAAAGAGAAGATAAAAATCGTGAATAGCATTACAATTATATTTATAATGAAAAGAACATGATAGAATTATGCTCAGTATATGCTCATTGATGAGCTATGTTCTATAGTTGTTATTCGATTATTTAAAATGACTTTATTAATCATCGATCAATTTTAATGTTCATATATGATCGCTGTTTAGTTAAAACTTTACGAATGTTCCGTTTAATTTTCAATCCGTAATATTAGGCAACCATTTTGACCAAACAGCACAAACTGTGCGATCCAATCGCACAGTCGGCGCATTACACTATATCGTGCGTTGTGCGTTACCACAACTGTAATTATTAGATAAGTATTTACATCATAATTTTATATTAAAGGCTGTGATGACGACACGATATATACAACTAATATGAATACATCTCGGCTACATTAGATTATCTGACCACACGGGGACATCATACATGGTTTACTTGCCGAAATGCACGCTATCAAATCTTAGTCGCCATTTTGTTTTACTTTAAAGATGGTATTAATGTTGAATAGATGGACGTATTTCTACAGTTGCATTACATATGAGGGAATCTGTACGACTACACCTCTTTGCATTTCTGGTAAGAGATGTAGCGGATCTCTCTGTATTACTGTAGAAATGTTTATATTATAGGTCCCAGAAAAAATGAGAATGGATCAGCTACGGAAATTGGTATTAATATTCCCACTCATGGGATTACTTGTTTTTTTTTTTTATTAATACCATGCGACGAGCGCCAAGGATTTTCTCTCGTCCGGTAACTTCGAATGTTTTTAGCTTGTGTGAGCACTTTCATATGTATCATACATGCCCTAACATAACAGATTTTGTTTTCATTCAAGTTTTTTCATATGGATTTGTACCGTATAATCGCGTCTTATAAACAACTTTGTACAACTTTTAATCTTCCTACACTAATCACTACAACTTATTTAAACGGCAAGGCCTTCAAAACATCCCAGCCATATCTTTTGTTGGTATAATATCTATAACAATCTACCGGTCGGCTTCTAGCTTTGTCTTCAGGTTTAAAACATGGTTGCAACAATGGCCATTATCAGATGTACTATGACTGATCATGTGAAATTTAATATTCCTTTAATTGCTCTACGCCTGACCTTATAGGTGACTCGCCCGTTGAACAGCTAAACGTAACTCCAGGTTGTTTGATTGCAAAATGCACGAAGAAAATCATACACAGATCTACATACATTTTCATATCATTCACAAAAATGTTTCCATAACAACCAAGAAAACGACACCCTTCCAGTATTCATGGTGAGCTTTCTAGTGATTGAGGGATGTTTTCATCTTCTTTTCACTAAAAAGGTCACAGTTTTGAAAATGATGCAGCTATTTCCTGATGTAAACTAAAATACACTTTAGTTCATTAAACATTTAGCA